CACACACACACACACACACACACCAGCAGTACGTCCTGCACAGCGGGAGGGGAAGAGGGGAAAAAAAGGCAGAAAGACAGCGGGGCAGCTGCAGCCCTAATGGACCGAACTTCAGTCAAACAAGACCAAACACTTTTATTCCTGATTTAAACTAGCGATCTTGAGAGCAGCTGCAGCTGTATGCTTTTAAAAGGTGGCTACTTTGAAGAACCTAGAATATAAGCCATATTTTCAGTTGTTTCACACTTTTGGTGAAGTATATAATTCCACAAGTGTTAATTCAGTTTTGATGTCTTCAGTGTGAATCTACAATTTTCATTATCATAAAAATAAAGAAAACTCTTTGAATGAGAAGGTGTGTCCAAACCTTTGGTCTATACTGTATATTAAAACACTCTTTATACCTGCCACTGTTGTATGTGTTGATATGACAGCTGCTTCCCGCATTGCATAACAAAAGCAGGTGAAACATTTTTATTCTGTTATTATGCTTACTTGATCACGTGACTAAGTTAATTGTGTATTTATTATTTTGGGTTTGTTTGTGATTTGGACAAAATAAAATGAACTGTTTAATTTGTCTAAAGTGTGCTTAAACAAAGTGTACTTTACTTAAAAGAAATGTAAAGACTTTAGTTTTTGAAAGAGTGAAAAAATGTCATGTCTATTGGGTGGGGGTAGAGATTGAGTCCCTACCAGACACTGAGGAGGCCAGTAGACAATGTGTAAGGTGGTTACAGAGAAGGTACCCCGAAGAAAGTGTGACTGTGTATGCTTATTTAATTTATGTTTTTCGCTCTGTAGAAGAAAATAAATACTGGATAATCTAAGGTTTCCTGACATGCTAATGAATTTGTTTGGCGGATTCTGATTCAGATTCAAGAAGTGTTTGTTTGAAAAAGAACCCCATGACAATGTTTGTGTGTCCCTGTGATATGACTGAGATCTGTCCAGGGCATCCCCTGCCTCTCACACACAGACTGCTGGAGTTTTGAACCAGCTTCCTGTGACTCTGAAATGAGAGCTTGGATGGGTAAATGGAGATATATATTTATTTCTGACTGTATCAGTTGGTGGCATTATCAGCTTGACAGCTGATTAGTCCCTCTCCTGCTCCTCTTACCTGTGATATGGTGTCAGTAAGAGGGACGACAATCAAGCTCCACATTCTCCACAGCTTCTCCTTGCTCTGTAGAGACTCAGCACTGTGACAAATGGTTCCCAGGACTGACTCTGAAAACGTTAGAGGTGAAGTAGGACCTAACAGACTGCAGGATACTAGTGTCTGGAGGCACTGAAAGAACCTGTAGATACACAAGACAATTTATGAAAAAGGAAAAAAAAAGTTTTAGCTCATTCCTTGTTATTTTTAATAAAATTCTTGTGCTACATTCTGAAAAAGTGCTTGGAGTGGAACAGGTCCCATAATTTGATTCTAGGGGTGTCCCGATACCAGTTTTTTCAAGACTGAGTACAAATACGAGTACTTGAGTTTGGGTACTCGCCGATACCGATACCGATACCAAGTAGCGGGGTTAGGGTGGATTATCTGTTCAACTTGTTGAATATTAAACAGAATGAAAATGAAATGCAATTATCATGCAAAAATTGATGGGTAAATATTATGTCAATAAAAAGGTAGTGCAAACTCTGGTTCACACTGCAGGCAAATCTGACCCAAATCCGATTTTTTTGACC